GAGTCTGCCCCTCCTCGCCGCTTCCCGGCTCAGGTTTGTCTCGTCCTTCCCATTCCTGCCTGACAGCCGAGAGCCATCCTCCACGCCTGTGTTCCTGACAGGCCAGTATCCATCTGCCTGCGGTCCCTCCAAAGTCTATCCCAAAACCTGCCCAGAGTCCGCCTGCCACCTGCTGCCACTCACCGGGTCACCCGGCGGGAGCCGCCCTGCCTCACGGGGTCGCTGCCACATCCCGAGACAAGCCCTGAGTCCGCCTGGGCTTCAGTCTTTTCTCTCAAAGGGGGCAGCTTTTGTATGAAAACAATCGCCCCTGAACTCGGCACCCTCCACATCTCCCTGACTGGCCGCCACAGCCCTTCCAGTGGCCGCTGCCTCACCAGTGCGCCTCCGAGCAGCCGCATCCCTGGAGCGCCCACCCCGTTTTCCCACGTCTTCCTCCCGAGGCCTCTCTCCAGCTCCTCCCTGGGACCTCCCGCTGTCTCCCTCTGTGTGCCCTGAAGCCTCACACCCTTGTCTTACAGGGGCGCTGGCCCCACTGGATGAGGCCCTCATGCCGTCGCTCCGGCTCCATCCCAGCTAGGCCTCTCCACACGGTCTGGTCTCATGCGGTTACCGGGGCAGCGGTGCAGCATGTGAGTGGGGGCGGCCCGTCACGAGCTGCTGGTTGCACAGGTCAGACGGGGCTGCCGTGTGGCGAGGACCAGCGTTCAGGCTCTGAGATGTGGTCGTGTTCATGGGGCCACGGGAGGGTGCAAGGTCGGCGACTTTGTAGGCAGACTCAGCTCTGGACAGGTGGGGTGAGGTAGACGGTGCACCAGGAGTGGGGTGCTTCAGGGTTGGGAGCCAGGGACCCTGGCCTCACAGAAAGTTAAGGACAGGATGAGAGTGGGGGTGAGGGGCACAAGACACTGACGAAGTGAGTGCTTGAGGAGCCCTGAACCCCCAGCCAAGGCCAGTCTCCCTGGGGAAGCTGCAGTAGCCTCATAGCACTTTGGTCCCAAAGGAGCCCCATTCTCATCCTCAGTGATGTTGACTTTCTGGGAGGCCCCTTCTCCCCTCCCCCAGGCCACGGAAGGCGGGTCTGTCCTGGGCTCCTGGGAAGGCTCCTGCAGCCACCGAGGGGCAGGCCCCCAGGGAGGCGTCCTGGCTGGGAAAGCAGGGCAGAGAAGGAGGGAGAGCCCCGCTGGGGCTCCGCCCGGGGGCTCCTGACGGAGGGGACCTGCGGGTGGAGGCCGTCCACCCACCTTCCAGTGAGCAGGGCTGCTTGCCGCACTTCAGCGGAGAATAGGGGTGAAGACAGCTCTGGCCAAAGTGTGGGGGCGGGGGTGGGGCTGCTCAGCTGCAGCGAAAGGCTGGGCCCCAGAAGTGCCAAGAACCCAAGGCACCGCAAACCCACGGCGCCTCGGCCGGACAGAGGCTTGGGCAGGACTGGGCCCACATCCCTGTGCGGCGTGGCTCCCTGGGCCACTGACCCCTGCCACCGGCCACTGGTCTTGCCATGCTGAACCTCCAGCAGCCTGGCCTCCGGTCACGGCGCCCCCCACCTCAGGCTCCCTGGCAGGTCCAGAAGATTCCTTCCTCTCCTCTTTCTGCGCCTGAGAGTTTCCTGAGCCACTTCCTTTTCTGGTCGCTGCAGCTCCGCGAGGGAGGCCGGATTCTCCCCCATTTCCCCCGTGTGACGGACGGACGGGGCCGCCTTCGGTCCTGGGGCAGGCCTGAGACAAAGCCAAGGTCGCCGGGCCTAGGCGGAACGCGGCCCCGACCGGCCCCTCTCGGAGGCCCAGGCCCGCGAAGGAGCGCAGGAGCCGGCTGGGATGACAGGTGAGCTGGGG